CTTGTATGTATCGCGGGGATATTGGTCTCATTAAACTATTTAAATTTTTATCTTAATTTACGAGTTAAAAAATTTTAATTAGATATTTAAGGATGTAGTAGATATATTTTTTTAAGTATTTTGTGATAAAACAAGATATTAAAAGGCTTGTGGTAATATTCACATCAATATTTAAAGAAATAAATATATAATTGTACCAAAAGATTACATATTATACGCATTTGTGATTGTTTATTGTCTATAAAACATTTACTTGCGTTACGTTTTTCAAATTTTATTGCCATATAAAAATATCTCATAACACGTTACGTTGTAAATCTCAACATTTTTTCCCTCTCTAATTTTCCCCGTTTTTTATTTGGCCTCTTACGTCTCCTTTAGTAGGAGAAGAATTTACATAAATTTGGAGGTCCTTGGCCCTTTTATATTATGTCTATTCTCTTTTTCAAGTACCGCGCTTTACTGCCTGATAGCACGTATCGCGGTCGAGAGAAACGCATCGAGGACTCTCAGTCGAGTTTATATCCTGCCACCGAACATTTAAATGACGTATAACGGTACTGTCGTCGAATTTCACTTGAAATAATCCGCGTGCCTTTCCTCCGAAGAGAGAGGATCGGGTTCCTTTCAGTTTTACGCGGCGAATACACTGTCCCGGGGAAAAAGCCGCTTCAAAGCACGGACTGCCATGCCGGGGAGTTTGCCCTCGCCTAGCGGACCAGGATCGATCCCTGATCCTTCCTTTCTCGGTCACGGTAGAGCCGTTCGGGATTAGCTCTTGGGAACTTTGATTGAAATATGTTTTGCCGCCGTTTACCGTCCCGTTCAACGTCGCGGTTATATCCTGGCGACCGTTATTACGATACTTTGGTCATAATACCTTAAAAGGAAGGATCGAAGCATTCATTCGAATTAACAAAGTACAGTCGACAGTGTTTCCTTGATAAGATGGATCAATTTTGGTAACGAATGTTAGCATCAGCGGGATATAATTCAATTTCGTAGCACGGATGAATTTTAACGATTCCTTTTTTATCAAATCGTTATACGATACATAAATATTACATCTCGTATAAATTTTTTAATAATATTTAAACGAAACCGATATCACTAAATGCAAATTCCGAACTGTAATTCAAGAATTTATTATATTTTTATTGTACATGCAGATTTTGCGGGGCATACATTGTATTAGCATAATGATACAATGCACACGATAGGTTATGCAAAATTGCAGATTACCAGATGTATGTAAATTTCACGCCATTCCGCCACGTAGAAAATCTTTTCGCGAGAATTTCTATTTTTAGATTCACGCCGCGCAACGTACGAGCGCGAGAATTTAAGAAGCCATTAAGAGTTTTACGAGCGCGATATTTCATCCTGGATAGCTCAAGGAGGTCACACTACACTTTCCTTTGGCCTATCTCCGTCATTGTAAAAAATATCATGCGCGCTATCGATAGGAACGTACATGCGCTCAATCGTCGTCGTTCTGAAAAAAATAAATCTTTCGCGGCACGCGCGAGACGTTGAAGTATGGCCGCCCCCATACGCAGCACGCATCTCTATTAGAAAATTGATGCCGGTTACCTGTAGCCATCGTCTATATCTATATATAAAACGCACGGGAAAACGAAAGACGTGAAAGTGACGGGCGCTATCGCGACTGTCGCTTCACGCATCCGCAAGTCCGTGAGCGTCTCCGCGTGGCGAGTGTCTTTGCGATAAAAGGCGACAGTTCCTCCTTCAAAAAGTAACTCCCTCGCTCGCTGGTATGTGTCAGGATTCGACTCGTCAGGCGCGCCGCCGGTTTGACGGCATCGAAAATCCATAAACGACGGGGTTTCTTCGGCATCGCAGCGCTGCACCGAAAGTCGTTCCCGCGGAATCGTCGATACTTTTAGCGAGGCGAATCGGCGTCGTCTACACGTCCGTCGGACACTGCAAAATATTGTTTTGAGGAATACCCTCGGACTTACACTGCACCCTTATTGCTTCTCGCTCCGTTGGTGCGGAATACGATTGTTTTATTATACGATCTTCGTCGCGAACTTGGAAAAGTTCTGCCTTTTTTTATCTCTCTCTCTCTTTCTCTCGCATCTTCGTCCTCCCTCCGCTCCGCCTTCTCCCGGTTCTTGCGACTTCGATTCCATTTCGTATATCATCACCTTACTCATCCCGGTAGTTCTGAAGTTCGACGATTCCATAGTTACGACTTTTATCCGGTAAACAACGTTGATTTTAACATGATGTCATCCCGGTTATGGACTCGAACCAGTAACTTATCTATATCGATAGAGTATTCAAGAATATGGCTGTCATATCCAAGAGATATAACGCGCGTGGCAAATTTTATATCTTTCTGCATACGATTTCGATCCGTCGCGTATTTTTTAGTTCGAAGTTTACAAAGAATCGGAGAATTAGTTAAATTAATTTTAAATAATATTAATGAGCACAGTACAAAAGAGAAATTTTTATACATTTCATTATATACAACATTAGAATTATTTAATATTTAAATATTTAATGTCAACCCAGCCAGAGATACCTACAAAGAATTTTTCTTAAGTTCAATGACGTTGTCGAGCGTATCATTTCGAGATAACAAGGAGTTGAAGGATAACAGAAGCAGCTGCAATCTTGGAGGTGTGTGTCAGTCTGTTATGATACGTTCACTTATGTGTATATCGGCAAACACGTGCCCAGAAAGTCTTGGGAGAATCGCCCGGAGGTACGTCTGCCAGGAAGCTGCTAAATCGCTTCTCTACGATCCATTTGGAGTCGAACAGTCGCATTATCGTTTTTGCCCGTAGGCTGTTTGCGAGTCCAAAAAGACTATTAAAATTTCCACGGATTCGGCGCGGCGCATGAAATTCAAGATAGGGGAGGGCTCGTTGAAAGACGATAATTGCATCGACGTTACATCCAGTCACTTTGAATAATTACGGATTTCTTTACATTTTTTATGCATCCGTCTTTTATTTTTCGCTCACCGATAGAACATCTCTTAGCGATTTATCACGGTTTTTGCCGTCTCTTTAAGACGCATCAATAACTGTTGGAAACAGAATCCGTAACTCAATAATATCGCACGAAAATACGTTTTTATCGTTTCAAGAGATAGTCTCTTACTCTCCGCGATTTGTCCGAGACTGCGCCGCGCCGTAACGAGCGACGTCCTGAAATGCCCCGGTGAAAAATTGAATTCTCGGAAGTTGCGTTTTCGCATGGATAAAACACGGGCAGAACGGCATCGTCACGACCCGATCGTCACCGTCATCATCCTTTCGGCGGCGTGCGGCAGTCAGCCATGACGAGCGGCAGTCTTCGTTTTTGCGGGCGCGCGCCATGCGGCGAAACAAATTGTCCGCCTTCGTCTTCGTCGATGGAAGATGAAAAACGAGATTCCCCGATCGGACGCGCGAAACAGAAACGAGCCCCCGTGCCATTTTTCTGCACGGCGTAGCGCCTTCGCGCGTCCGAGCAAAAACCGAAATAATCGCTCCGTGGACTCGCGCGCGCGAGGACTTGGACGGGGCTCTCTCTTCATTTTTCGTACGAGTGCTCGCTAGGGGGTCGATGGAAATAGCCACCCTCCGTGCCACTGGATACCCGCTTTTTTGCCGCGTATTCCTCTTCCTTTTTCCTCCTCTTCTTCTTTCGGCCTCTATCACGTCTTGCCAAATCGGCGAATTATTCCGCTGCCGATTAACCTCCCGCGTGAATTAATTGCCGGTTTCTTCGAACGTGCACAGTAACCCTCATGAATCTTGGTATAAACGAGAGACGGTCGTTCCCCCCGCGTACGTTTCATAATGGCGAAAGGTTTCGGCGATAATATTTCTTGGTTCTATATAAAGTAAAATTCTTTTGAAATGTTTCTCATTTTATATTCCGCGCATTTTTATGAGAATATCGAAGATACCACACTTGTACTTTTTCTCTTTTCTCGATAAATAAAATTTTACACGTTATGCGTTTTTACGCCATTAAACATAGCAGTTTGATTTATGTATGAGAAGGAAAGATAAAATACGAAATGAAGTGAGAGAGGCAATTTTAATTATCTATTAAATTTGTTCATTTATCCCACGCTAACAAAGTACGAACGTCTGTTAGAACTGAAAAAGGGTACTATGTAATCTGCAAATCGGTGTTATTCAAACAAATTTTCTAATTATAGACCCCACTCTTGGAATTAAACAAACAATCCCAACAGTTTCATCCGAATGGATATTAAACGTTGTTGGCAAACAAACCTGATGGGCGCGCACGCTCGCTAATTATAACAAATAGTTGCCGGCAAAAAATAATTTGCGCCTTATCGGGTTCGTGTAATGGGCGCGCTCCGTTGGTACGTAACGACAGGCAAATGAGCTTCGCCCACCCGCTGAACATCGACTTCGACTTCCGCGAGTCACTCCGACGTAGGCACCCGTCGACTCGACGATTCCGTCGACGTGGCGTATCTGCTTATTCACCGGGCGCGTAATGGGGCGGATCTTTCCCTCCGCGTGACGAACAAAGCGAGAAGCGAAGAAACGAATTGGCAACCCACCGCCGCCCGGGAGGACGGCGGGGGTGTGGGTTAGGGGTTCCGGTAACTAAGAAGATGGAGGACTTACGGAGAGGGTGCGCTTGGAGGACGAGACACAGAGAGAAGGAAGAAGGGGTGGAAGGGGTGGCTTTCGTGGGGCGGCAGGAAGAGGGAGATCGAAGTCACTGCTGGCGGTTACGGCGGTGGCACGACGATCGTCGTACTATCTCCGGTGAACAAAGGGTGGGTAACCCCCTCGGCGTACCGGAAGCAGGGCGCAGGAGGGAGCGGAAGACACCCTAAGACCCCGACTTCCGGTTACTGCCTTTCATATCCAGTAGTTCCTCTGTCGCGCAGCCTAGCTATGGCACGAAGGAATCTCTGCTGCGTATACACGGAATTGGCGACGCGTGTGCGTGCGCGTTACGTACGCGTGTACATATAACGAGACGCTTACCACATATCTAGAACTAATAACTCGGGGTTGGAAATTGGTTGAAGGCTTCGCGTTGCTCCGAAATATCTTCTCATTTAGACCTCCTCTCCCTGTCTCCTTCTTCTACCATACCGTCGCCGTGTCCCTTCTCGATTACGCATCTTAGATACCATGTTTGCAGTGGCTCTGAAAGGAGAAGAGAATCGTTCAAATGTAAACGCGAGGGGAGCTTTTGCGATTATGATGGAAGCTTTATTCTCAAATATCATATATATATTATATAACATTTTATTTAAACATTTGTTTATCATTATCGCTATCATTAACATAAGCGTTTCTCCTAATTAAACTGCTGTGCCGGCAAATATTTAAAATTAATATCTTATAGTCTTTTTTACAAAGCAATAGCGACAGTGACGTGGGTGGGATCTAACAGAACATCATTCACAGCAATCGTCGTTATTCGAGCAATATCTGGTAACCTGTGATCGATCGCGATAGCCGTAAGCTATGCCGGTCAAACTCATCGGTCCGCGAAAACCCGCCTCATTGGCCAATCCTGTCGCCCGAGGCTGCGTTGTATTGCCACTCTGTCGCTGTCTCGTAAAACCAGCTCTTATGTTAGACGAGAAATTTTAAATTATCAATTCGCCAAACGGCTATGTTTAAGTTATGGTAAATGCGCCGAACTTTCGATAAACAATTAGTTTCGGATATTATATATCGGTTTTCACGCTCCGTCTCGAATAACTTGTATAACAACAAAATTTGTGTTACATCTTAAAGCGTGGTCGTGTTCTGAAAGAGAAACGCATCGCGCTAAATGTTAAGAGCTAACTTTCGATTATCCATTAGCAATTCTTATAAATTTGTTGACACTAGTCACCGTTAACATTCTCTTGCCAATACTATTAAAGTATAAATATAAGCTGAAGAAACACGATATTATATGCATGTCTATCTTTCTTTCTTGTACTCCTTTCTTCAAGGTAGTGACTTTTAATTTTTATTCGAGAAAAAAACGAGTTTTTGACGAAACGGAATGTTCACGCGTGCATTTATGGTAGCGAAATAAATTCGTCTGTGCAAGGAAAATTCTTCTCATTGGACAAACCACTCGCCATTGGGTACTCGCCGTTATATCGGTACTTTGTCACGGGCCTCATAAAACTACCTAAGCTCTCAGACAACGGGGTTAACTTATTTACAAGACGGCGCGGTTATAGTCGTGTAAACACGTCCGTCGTATTTACAGGACCATAACATGATACGGAGACTCGTGTCGCGACACGTTCGCGAGAGTCCATATCTTACGGATGTGAGCGTACGTGTGCATCGTAATAGCGGCACAATACAGAAAGACAGCCGTAAAGGACGGTTTTTCAAATGGCCGCGTATGACCGACGGCGGTTTACTGGCTATCGACACTTTGCCGCGTATATCGGCGCTTGCAACCAACCGTTTGCTAGATTAGATATTGCAATGATACATATATTACGATAACACATTGGTATCGTCGTTTTTACGCTTTATGCCGTTTTAACATTTCTATTTTTCGCTTTTAATCGTATTTCCATGTGACAATTGCGAAACTGCATCTTCTGAACTTATACGACTTCTAATAGAGTCATAAATTATTTCTACGTCAAATAAATGGAAAATAATTGAATTAATCATTTATTGAATAAGTCCAAAATATCCAGTGATAGCACACAGTGCAATGCATAATGTACGGCAGTCATTAAAAGAGAATATACGTATATATGTACATATATATATATATGTCTCTGAATATAATGTATTATAAAGCTTCAGCAATTATATGATTTCAAGTTTTAAATCTTCCTATACTTATTATTGGAAACTATATATTATTCATGTTAATTTTTCTATGATATTTATAACGATAGTCACTATACCATAAGATTCGAATCTATGTATAATGCCGATGTTCCTGACAAATTATCGCGCGCATTTCTCTCAAATAATCCGATTGAACTTGTAAAATTTTTCTCGCGACTGTCGTTACTTTAAATATGCTTAATAAACGTAACGAATCAACACTTTATAGATTAACGTCAATACCGCTCCAATTGCAACAGTATTTTCTATTCTCTCGGAGAAGTGTAATAAAACCTGGACAAGAAGCAAATCCTTCCTCTTTTTTTTTTACTCCCAGCAGTATTTCCCGCAAGAGCTCGTATGTAACTATGTACTATAATAGCGATGTATAGTATGTCCCGTAAAAGACACGACGGAACGTCGGTAGGTGCCCATTAAGGATGGTCGTTTCTGCCTCGAAGGACGGCGGTCGCAAAATCAATTACGTCAGAAGCTCGTGGACCCCGGAGGTGGCCTCTGCTATAACGTGGTGGAAAGATCAGAAGTCGACGACGGGGTCGAAAGTGCAGGCGGAGTCTTCCTTGTAGAGGAATAGACCAAAGTCAATAACTCACCCGGCTTCATCGAGAAACAAAGTGAGCGCAGGCTAACTTCTCCCTTTCGCGCATCGCGGAAAAGGAATTTTCGTTTCAATAGCTAACGTGAAACTCATTATAAAATTTAGATTAAACATTAATTTTCTTCCAATTATCGCGGGGCACGCTCGCTTATTTTGAAAATGTTAAATCTATACATTTTTATTTAATCCCCTATATATGAGAGAAAAGCAATTTTAAAAATATTTTTTAAAACTGTTGAAGAATTTAATGAAAAACTGTACAGTTTATAGAATACGCTGAAAATGAATAACTTCCAATTCTAATTTTAATGAATAATTTTTAATTCAAATTTTGAATATATTTACATACAAAACACATTTTGATTCTACTGCGTTATACACTGGCGATCGATTCAGGTACATCCGCAACGAAAGAAGGGTTAATACAAGCAGAATAAAAGAATACATCGTGAGATAAGATAGAACCCAGTTTCATAAAATCCTGGTTATCCGCAAGAACCGTTGAACGAAGACCGACACGGTATTGATCCTCGGTACGTTTCACGAAGATGTGAAATTCGCGAACTTAGCGAAGCACGAACAAGAAGTACGTAGTACGGGGAACAGGATACCGAACTATGCAGCAAGTAGCTGCTTAGTGACGCGTGATTCATAGTCCTAGTCAAGCAGTTCAACGTTAGCTTTGGATGCGATTATCTATAAAGGCAGATCATGGATGATTGATAGTTTGATGCGGTGCAACTTGGATCAGAAATAAAATTGAAGTATTGAAATATTTAAATCACAAATTATTTGTAAAACCAAAAGAAAACAAGTACAAATAGCAACATATTACGTGCATTACCATAAAAACTTCAAGTTTATCGGGGAATAAAGTTGTTTCCTGATTTTATATTACCATATAATATAAATGTCTTTTTAGAAATATTTAAATATATTCAAAGTGTGAATAAAGTTGTCTCCTGATTTTACATTACAATATAATATAAATGTATTTTTCGGCATATTTAAATATATTTAAAGTTTATTGAATACGTGCGGAGAACGGAGACATTTTAAGGATGTCATTTCGCTGATATAAATCATCTAAAAACAGACGTGAATACGATTATGATTTCCGGTAAGTTGACATAAGCAAACGCACGTGGCAGAAGATCCGCGGGAGCGGCGTCGTTAATGCAGTTGCCAAAGCGGTTTCCTCGGACATTTTCAAGCTATCTTTGAGTCGTCTTTAAAACCTCACCTTTGATGAGCCGCCACCGACATCGTAGTTGCAGAGCAAGGCTGCTGGCTTTAATAAGAGCCTGGCAAGCGCCGCCACAAAGGGATGCCACAGGAAATTTCTATGTCTCGAAGATAGAGCGGTCGGGAATAGGAGGGTAGCTCGCTAGATACGCCAGTTTTCGTACATATCCCTTTCCTTCTCTCCCTTCTCTCTTTCTATTCTCCCCTTTGTTCTCTCTGTCCATCTCTGTCCAGCCTTCTTTTTTCCGACTGCTTTAAATGCAAATAACACAATTACTGAGGGAGCGTGTGCGACAGGTGCGCTTCTTCGACAGGGCGCATAATTCATGTCCAACCGCAGAGGGGGATACAAAATAGGATTACGGAATTAACTCTGGATTCGTTTGATTTGATGTCGGATGAGCTATTAATCGGAAGGATTGCTGCGATCGGTTTGTCACGTCGCGCGTAGGGTAACATGAAAGGATAGGGAAATTAAAAGTGTCCATGAAATGTCCATTAGTGTCCATGAAAAAACGTAGCATTGATCACTCCTCCTATTGTAACATGTGGAAATTCTGTATCTATTAACCTATTAACATTTAGGCTTTGTCTTGCTTCGTTTTTGTACACTGCATCGATCGATTTCGAAATCAATAGGAAATCTGACAGTGAGCTAGCTGACGAGACGAGAGCGCCAAAAGAGTATGAAATATAATAATTGCCGAACGTCTTCGAAGGCGCGTTTTAACAATTATCTCGTCCTAAGTGAGGCAGCCCTGTGACGCATTCCATCCCCGACTTTCTTTCAGCCTCCGGGGTTAGAGACTTTGCCTTGAAATTCCTCGCGAGCTTCCCGCTCCGCCACCTTTGTACGCAATACCTACTCGCCCTTTTTCACCGTCACGCGCCTCCCTCCGTCGGCGTCGTACGGCTCGCCCTCCCTTATTTTCCTATCGTCCTCGCCATTCTTGTTCCCTCTTTGTCGCCTACCATAGCTGTTTCCTGCGGATCACCCTTCGTTCACGCGGCACTCTCACCCTCGCCGCAAAGGGCATCGTAGGACGAAAACGAGCAGCGTCCAGCAAATTGATATTAAATGCCAAGGTTGGTCACCTTGTATATTTCTTTATTAACTTCGCGGAATGGGCTATCCGACTCCCTCATCGCATCCACGCGTTCCTTATAAAAGGACGCACCTCGCACCCATCTTCCTTTGTTTCGTCATCAGGTCGAGCTTTTTTTTCAACTCATACTCTTGCATCGGAAACGTACGACGAGGACCATTTCCTAACGTCGCATTTGAACGATCGAGAAGAAAACGACAGAGATCTTTTACTTTCGCTCGCGGCACGATGAACGCTGAAAACGGATGATCGTACTTATTCGAAGATTGATGAAGAGCGCGCGTGTTGTGAAAGGACCTGTAATTGAAAAAAATTGCTGCAAGGGACGATTCCCGCGTTATCGAGGCCCGGCTTAACGGTTTCCAACCACGGAGGGGCAAAAAAATGTGAGTCAATTCTTACAGAGAAATTCCCAGGGCCGCCGCCGCCGCGGGTTTAGAAGACACGCGTAAAAGACAGATGACGAATAAGAGACGACGGAGAGAGAAAGAGCGCGGGAGATGTCTTGGTTAATTAACGGCCACGTGCGTCTCATTAACGGACTTGCAACCACAAATCACGGCATGGAAACGCGCGGCTACGAGCATAAATACCAATTATGCGTAACTCGCACGGCTCACCGGCCCGGAGCGACGGAGGGTGCGTGAAGGGCTCCCCGAAACGGGACTCAACCAAGCATAATTGTAATGCATATAGGCCACCGAGGGGTAACTCGGGATTAAAACTTCTTTCTCGAAATTAATCCAAGAACTCTTACACCGAACATTATCACCATCATCGTTGCCGCTATCACCATCATCATCATCATCATCTTTATCATCGTCTTTTAAACAACGGTAAATCACACAGACCGCTTTTATTTATTTTATTCATCAAGGAAATTTACCTTGCGGAGGAGTAGACGACACACGCGTCGTAATTCATCTCGCAGAATCGTTTAGCCGCCAAGTAAATCATGTTCACGTCGCACGGACGTTCCATTTTTATAAAATATCGATGCGAGGAGGCTCACGTTCGTACGCGCCTTTATATCCAAAGTGATCGTTCGCTAGGGCTTAAAAGCGTTCGATGGACGCGCAAGTACAGCGCGAAAGTACCGTGCTTAAGCGGAATCGATCTCTGGGCTGGCCCAACGATAATTTCCGGGTTGTATAAATTAATTACCCTCGCCACCAACCACCGAGCACCCCTCCTACCTCTCTCTCTCTCTCTTTCTCTCTCTGTCTCTGTCTCTCTGTCTCTCTCTTTTTTCACTTTGCGAGCTGCACCGTAAATTACCCGGTGCATTATGGAGCACGATTTATTAATACAATTTGCCTCCACGTAAAAGGTGCCGGGCGCCAATTACCGTGCCACGTTCTTGACGCCGGGGCTACTGCGACGTGGCTGCAACACGTTACAACGTAAACCGCACATGCACCATACGGGACGGAGAACGGGGAACACGTGCGGCTTGGCTGTCTGAAGTTTTGCGGACTGTATACGCCCGCTGTCTCGTTTTAATACATAAGTATTCCTCTCATCTTGCGGCGACGTGGACAAGGAAATCTCGAAACAAAATTATTTAGGAGCAAATAAAATTACGCATCCGCCGGCATTTACGCGACGCTCTTTACCTACCAGCTGGGGTCAGGTGTTGTCGGAACTTTTTTAATCCCACTTACGCCGGGAGAGAATATCGTAAAGGAAATTGTGATAAATCCGAAGGTACGCGACCGTTTTATCTTCGTTTCTAAATACCGGATAGCAAGTTGACCCGTTTTTAGAATTAAAACTTTTGAATAGCATGCTCAATTTATTCAGTACCTAAATTAATAAATCCTCAACTGCTCCGGTCAAGTAATTATATGAATCAGGTCATGGACACCGTGGTTAGAGGCGGTTAGAAGCAGGTGAAATAGCGTAAATTATATTAGCAAGCGTATGCGACAAGTTGGCAAATATTTTTGCATTTTTTTTTTCGTAACAAAGACGACAATGCGCCTTACTATTCTTGTTTCTGAAGCCATTTCAGTGCAGCTTTCACGTCGCGACCGTCGCATCCAGTTGCATTATATTAGACACGAGGTTGGTAGGCTCCACGGTATATTTGCAGATACGTACACGCGCGTTTATCCAAGTTTTAATACGGCAAAGTAATAGACTCGAAATACAAGGAAGGCATTAGCCTCCTTTGCGAGCACTTTGCAGCTCCTATTACCGAAGTTTCACCTAGTGATTAAACCTCAAGCAAGTCACTCAGAAGCTTTTCGACGTTAACTTAGCTTCCCGTTGGTATTCAAGATTTCAAGCAATTTCACCCGGGCTGCATTGTCGCCGCCGTCGCTCTCTTGTCACCGCCTCGTCTCGTCTTTTGCACTCCTGGCGCCACGAATTGTTCCGCTCCGCTTAGGAAAGAGTACGCATCGCGCGCGCGCCCTCGCCTCGCCTCGCCTCGGTGTAGGTGCTAAAACATGGCAGGGCTCCGACAGAATTTTCGCAACCGTCCTGACAGGAAACAATTTCGTCGTCTTGATTTTCTATCGTCCCCCTTTGCGACGCGCTGATTCGCGAAAACACACATAGTGCAGCAAGCGAGCAAGCACGGTGATTCGCGCTCGATTTCACGCCGAAAACTTGATGACGTGGAAGCCTGGAATGGCAACTGTGCTGTTTACTGATTTCAGTATAAATAACATTTAAATTATTCGCAAGATTGAATTTAATATTGATCATTGCGCTAGAAGTCTGTCAGACTATATATTTTATTCCTTGAATTTTTAACATCTGCTTATGAATAACTTTTACATAAATATTTGTCGTTACATTCTATTAAGTCGTACATAATTTAAGTTAGATTTTCTTTTGCAATTTTACAAAATACACAATTTAAAAAATTCTTATAACAAGTTGATCTTTTAAAATCTATGCTGCCTTATTGAAAGTCGCTAATAATTTTTTCATGTTATTAGGTATTCGTTTTAATTCGATCCTCCCGCGACGTCGAGGCTCGTTTAAGCTTTTCAGGGGAACCGCGCGCGAGGGACCGACGGCTGTCGGAAACTCAAACATAATTAATATCGCAATACTCGCTATCCCGCCCAAGGAAAAGCCAATATTATGTACTCACGGTACGCTAAGGAAAAGAATGAATACGAAGGGTGCAGCGTAGGATAATATAGGGGCCACCTAATACACCACTAGATATTCGGTAACTTGGCATGAATGGAGTCATAATATAAGTAGGTACCAAAGGCGTCTCCGAAGGAACGTATCCTTCGAGGGACGATCGGCAATGGGGGAAAACCACTGCCTCGGGGTTTCCCCGGAGACTATGTGCAGGGGATTCTTTATTTAATATCCCCAGGCTGGTGTCAAGGAATATGTATTACCGGACCGTCGTCGCTTCGGCACTTATTCGCCTTCTTCGCCTCGTTACTCCCGCCAAGCTCAACAATGTGCATGCACTCTCTCGCTACATCTAAAATTGCCAATTATCATAATCGAGAAACCTACGTGACGGAGGCACACATTTCGTAAAAATTATGCAAAGTTCATTCTATCTTATATATGCATGCGTCTGAAATATTTAATTTTTATAAATGAAACGCTACAACGTTACACGTAAGACGATAATTTAATTACGCTGAAGCTATACGAGATCTTCTTCGTAATAGAATAACATTCTCCATAATGGAAGATGTTCCCGTCATGGTGTGACGCATCTAGTGAAAAAGTTCAATGTATTTCTAGCACGTTCTTGGAAACACTCATATGATGAACTTACTTCGAACTTGCGAACTTTTCGTGAAAAACTAGCATGCAGTAGCGCGCTCTTTCTCCTCCTTGACGCTCATCGCTACGTGGAGAAACTCTCTTAGTTCGCGGAAGTTTTCGAGGAGGTGCTGTCTACAGTTTTTCAATGTCTCTTCAGCTGCAAGTTGGGATTGGAGCCGTGGTCGCGACG